GGCGACTTAGCCTAGAGAACTTTTTTTCTGATCGCCTACGCTGAGCTGTCAACATCGTTGGGTTAGAGAAAGAAACCCTGATTCTTCGACTTTTGATCAAGTAAGACTTAAAGGTAATGTTGAACCAAATCATCTTTAGGGGAGATTACAAAAAGAAATAAACCGAAAACTACACTCATACTTATACTCATAGATTAGGCCTACTTTACTATCTCCATTGAATTTATTACTGGATCCCGTATAACGAGAATCCTGCTATAACGGACATTTGGCATCGGTCCCCTCCCTCTCGCTATAACAGAATTCCACTGTAGTAATACTGTAGTACTTGTACATGAGACATGTAGTAAAGTTGCTCGACTACAAAAGAGATGAACAGAAACAGATAAGGCTTATCTTGAAAAGATGATTTGTTGTTCAAGTTCTATTTAATGTTGTCCAACTACTCCAAGGAGTGTGGAGATGCTGTCTCAGTCTCTCATCCATTTTTCAGTGTTTTCAATGTTACGAATGGCAACCCTCCTAAAAGTTAGTAAAACGGCCACATATGTTTTTATTTTCTTTGTCAGAAAGCATGACAGCCATCTGTCTAGGCCTACTTGACTTGGTACATGTATGTATTCAAGATTCAGTGCAATCAGACATGACCATCACAATGGAAGTACATTTACCATTATTTCTGGAGCGTAGCTTCTTGTTTTACTGTAGGCTACTTTTAGTGTTTATGTGTATGGTTCAAGATACAAGTGAAATGAAAGATATTGATTTGGCATCCTTTCCAACACTACCACTAAAGTAACATTAGGAGGCAAATTAAAGTTATTGAGGAAGACAAACGAGATGGGCCAGGGCGTAGAGCAGCCTCCAACAAAAACGATCAACAACTACGAACTGGAGGTGGTACATGAATTCGCCTACCGTGGCTCAACAGCGACAGACAACCTGTCTTTGGATGCTGAGATCAACAAACGGATCGGACGTGCAGCTACGACATTCGCCTGGTTGAGAAAGAGAGCCTGGGAAAACAAGCTGGCGATCCGGATCAAGGTAGCCATCTACAGGGTCTGCGTCCTCAGCACCTTAATAATAATAAATAATAGATAGCATTTGTATAGCGCATATCCCCGCTCAACAGCAGGCTCTATGCGCTTTACACTATATTATTACCCCAGCAGACCATAGAACACTCAGAAACATTCTCAGCTTCCCGGGAAGCATACAGTGCAAGCAGCCGATTAAGCGCTCAAACACTAACAAACTGACAAGATCTTTCGCTGTCTATAGCCGGGTACCCATTCCCACCTGGGTGAAGTGAGGAAAATTCGTGTAAAGTGCCTTTCCCAAGGACACAACGTCGGGTCCCTGACGGGATTCGAACCCACGACCTTACGGTTGCGAGTCTGAGAGCCTAACCACTAGGCCACCGACGCCACCAGTACAGAAGTGAGACATGGACCCTGTACAGCAGACAGACAGGAAAAAAGGCTCAACATATTTCGTATGCACATCCTTGATATACAGTGGAGCAACAAAGTCACCAATGTGGAAGTTCTCACCCGTGCGCAGATCCCAAGTCTGTTCACCACGCTCCGGCAGCGCCGACTCCGCTGGCTTGGTCTCGGGCATCGCATGCTGGATGGAAGAATACCAAAGGACTTATTGTACGGTGAGCTGGCGAGCGCCTGCATCTTCGCTTCAAATAAAGGTGTGTCAAGCGAGATATGAAATCACTCGATATGGACACTGGGAGGTGGGAGATACTGGCGTGCGATCGCGACAAGTGGAGACAGACGCTGTGAGCTGGTCTCATCAGAGGTGAAGCCCGACTGCGACAGGCTGCTGGAGACAAACGCTGTCGCCGAAAGAACAGCCAGAGGCTACCAACGCAGGAAGACACCACTCTCAAGTGCAGCCACTGCAACAGGGCCTGCAATTCCTGTGTGGGCCTGTTCAGCCACACAAGTGCTGCTCTCGAACCTGAAATCTCCTGGCGCAGATCCATAGTCTCCTAAGTAAGAATGACCAATTGCTCAAATGTGTGAAATATGTAGGCCTAATAATGTGTGAAACTCAATAAACACATTGGACAAAAGTGAGATGAAAATTGCGACAGAGTGGACTCTCTCACTACTCTCAGTTCCAAACAAATCTTTGTGCCAGGTATGATCAAGATTCTGTATACTCCACTTTATTTATCATTTTGATTTATGTACACTACTACAATAGTGGCCTCTTTTCAGCGGAAATCAGGGGAATCTTGTCAAACTGCCCTCAATTTTGTCAAGTTCAATTCTAGATTATGCTGATCCATTTTTTCCATTCCCATCTCTTGGAGTATGTACCGGTAGTATTAATTATTAATAGTAATGTAGTGTGCAGGCCTACACAAAAATATACAAAGTAATTTCAGTTGAACCTGTGTAAGACGGCCACACATTGTTGATGAGAAAAGTGGCCGTACAAGACTGGTGGCCGTCATACGCAGGACTATGGTGGCCATCATCATATGCAGGACTAATCAACATGAAGAAGACTTCTGAGGTCCCAACTGGAGGTGGTTGAAGGATTAGGACTGTCATAGGGCTCATTAAAATGTTTGTGGAGTTTTTTTTGTAGGGTTTTTTTTTGTTGTTATAAAGGGGGGAGAGGATAGGACGGTGTTTGTGGGACTTTTTGTAGTTAGTCTTATTTATTATTTTTTAAGGGTCTGTGAAAGGTCAAAACAAAACGGGTCACATGGGGAAGGCAAAGTACTATAGTTAAAACAAAGGTCACCACCACTTGGCAAACAAGCAACACTTTTGTCGCAAGTTTGTGCCGACTTCCAATTGTTATGAATTGGGTTTACGGACTGAGTTGTGGGCGGGGCTTATACATGTAGTTTATGACGGATCACACGCTTCCCTTCCCAGTACCAGTTACCAGCAGAAAACGTGGATAAAGGACCAAGAAGGGCTCTCCACCTGTCTCTGTCCTACAACTCCTACAACATGTACATGTAGTTCTTGGCGATCTCTACTTCCACCTAGCTGTGCCAGGTCTGTCTCCACATCTCAGCCTTCCTCGCCCTTGGGTATTTGATCTTTACATCTTTTTTTTTTAGATTTGGCATTGTCACATTGTGGGCTGGTTTCTTAATTAATTATTAAGACAAAGAAGAGTGTGCTCAGTCCACCCATCTTCTTTTCTTGAACTCGCGGACAATTGGTTGTTTGGTTCTCCGCCATAAAAGAGTTCTGATCTTCCCCTGGCAACTATTAGCACTGCAAGTCTGCACCCATAACTTCATTAAATTACGATTGGCAAGACCTCCGAATAACTTGTCTCCATTTACTGTTGTTTTAAAATCACAACATAACATGATAAAACAGATCCGGGTTACCACTAGTCTAGGGCCTCAACCATCAAAATACAATACACTGTGTAAAACTTTCCAGGATAATTTATCATTTACCTTTGTTGGGGTAAAGAGACGCACATCGACTAAATAATAGTCACTTTGACTTAATAAAAGGCTGGGAAAAAATAAGACATACAGACAGAAACAACAGAGAGAAAGTAAAGAAGTAGGACCTACCAGTGGCGCCCTCCAACCACTTGCTTTCATTAACTGACTATTCGTCGAGTCTTGAGTCAATGATTCTTTTTCTAACTACTCACACCAAAGTGGCAGGCACACTGAGCCATTAAGTTGCAATCTTCTTCTCAGGTCTCAGGATCCCTTCTTCTTTACAATTCCTAATGATTAAGTTGAACTTCGGATGATTTGATATTTTTCACTCCCCCAAAAATATCAACTCACCCAGTCAACTGTTGTAGTAATTGAAAAAAATGAAAAGAAGTGCACCCACTCCACATACATTATACACACACGAGTATTCACAAACCACTGACTTGTGAAGCGGCACAAGGTGTAGAGAGAATTTGAAATTATGAAAGGGTAAAGAGTTAACTGTGATTTTATTCAATCCCAAAATAGAAGATTCTATGGAATCATAATGCTCATTTCCAGGCCCTTAGTTTGAACCTCATCCAATCAGGGGCCAAGCACTATCATCACCATTAGAGAAACCAGCTTGACATTCCACCCTTCTGCAGGAATGTACATTACAAAATGAGAGCTTTGTAAGTTTTAGTAGGGGTTTTACATGGCTCGCAACTGCATAAGGTCATATTATTATGATTGCCAAGGAGTGGATGTCAACAGAGAAGTCCTTACAGGGAATCGGGCTTACTCTGCTCACCTCTCTAGAGCTTTCTGCAACCGAATTAGAGAACTTCACTGAGAGAAGACACCAATAATAATCATAAAAGACTGCAGTTATATAGTGCCTGCTATTATATTAATTCTTTAGCTCCTGGTCAGACTTCAATAAACCTTACTGCAGGGGGATAGTTATTAGTTTGTAATGTATTGTAGGTATTTTATACCCCCATCAACACAATTTAGATCATTTAGAAGCTGGGCTTCGACCTTGCCTGCCAGGGCAAACTTAAGGTAAGCTGGTAAGTAAGAGGGATACACCTTCCCAGCAGAAACAGAGATACCGGTATTCAATAAGAATTCTTAAAAGGGAATCGAACCCAAGTCTAATGCATGCGAAGGCAAAGCACCTAACCCTGCACCACAGATGCCAATGCACTACTCTCAAAAGACAAAATTTGAGATGGACTACTCTGCTGCTGTGAGACTCCTAGCGAAATCAGTGCTTCACAAACAAAAAGCAAAGCCCCTGTTGATGCCCTGTCACACAGCAAGGAACAACCACCAATTCCCAAACTTTTTTTTGTCGTAGGTAAAGAGTTTTTCAGCATTTGCAACACAATTAGGTCATACAAGTGCAAAAGACTAACAACGTTGCAAGAGAGTAACACACAAAAAAAGGAGAGAAAAATGTAGATAGATGTTCGCATTGATATGAAAAGAGCAAACCACACCAGAGCATTCACCAACCACACATTCTCAAACTTAAAAACCCAAGGAAAAACAAAGGCAGAAATATCTTTTAAAAGTATTGATATACTTTATTCAGAATAAATCCCAACATTTTACAAACGTCGGCCACGTCTGCCACCCTTTCTGCGGGTGCTGTCTGAAGGAATGGGAGTGACATCCTCTGTGAAAAAAAATCAGAGAGCATTCATTAGTACTGTACCAAAAAGAAAAAAGGAAGGTAACTGAACTTTCAAAGGTCACTCTCTACTAACTGAAAATAACAAAACATGTCTAATGGATAAAATGTACATTAATACTTGATCCATAAAAAATTTGGGATATTTTATTCAGTACGTCTTCGAATAGCAAACCTTCAAGGAAGATTAACCCTCATCCTGCGGGAGCCAGATTTATGTCGCCCGATAAGCCTATTTCGGCACCTCGCCTACATTCCGGTCCCGAATCAGTGTAGCCCCTGGCTGAGCGCACGCGCTTGAGTTTGTGCGCGTTTGTGGCCTTCTCCTAGAACCGCCTGCGTTCGTTCGTAATCGAGGCATACGTCTCATTCAAAACATGCCAAGTTGGTAGCTCTAGATGTTCGTCCAATGAAATTATAGAAGAAATTGACCCACTTAGAAATGAGGAGCTCAGGAAACAAGACTTCCATTTTTCTAAACAAAATATTTCAAATGAGCTTGATTTTGTAGGAAATGATACTACCTGATAAAAAATAAGCTAGTTTGATAGTTATGAATACCATTGTGCAGGTACAAAGAACAATTTGAAAGTAAAACATTCGGATATTGACCTAAATTATCCCCTTTCGAACCTCAGGTCATTCATAACAACAAGAGCGTCCAGACAAGTTATTCGAATGGGCGTAACTACTCATAATGTCTTATCAGCTTGTGAGAGGGGGTTATTCATGTGTTTGTAACACTTTATAAATAAAGTCTGTTCCACAAAATGCATGATGAACACCAGATGCAGAATTCATAACGCAACGTCACTCATTCTAAATTCTAAGTGTGACGAGGTACAAATATAAAAATGCTGCCGTTGTACTCGAAATATAGAATAAGACGTACTATGGAAACTACCGTCAGATACCACAAGTCATATAAAGAACAAATTTGACAAAGGAGTCCAGAAAAGGCAATGATGGGCATCAAACAGTCAAATTTAGCACCAAGTAAAAAAAAGAAAACATGAAGCTAGACCTATACGGATCGCACACTTAAAATAGTGCTCAGTATTTCGAGATAGTATCGAGCGGAAGTACGACTTGAAATAAACAAACCTGGTGGATTTTCTAAAACTAGAGACAAGCGCCGGCCTACAAAAGCGATCGGCAAAGTAAACAAAGAAATTTAGCTTTTTGCAGCAAAACCATCTAAAAACTGAAGAAAATGAAGGGCATCATGATCTGGAGAATATTTTAAAGAATCTTTTGGCTAAAACCGCATGTCGATCGATGCAGCCATTAAAAAGCCTTTTGAATAGCAAAATTCGGCCACCACAAAAAACATACAGTAGTCTCCGCCTAAGATCCCGGTTCGCTTAAGATCCCGCTGTTTTAAGAAAACAGAATTTTTACTATACAAAAGTCCCTAAGATCCCGCTCTCATTTTCTCTGAAGGTCTACATTCGGCTAAGATCCCGCATTTCAGATCATAATTTGCGGAACAAAAACCCGGGCGGGACAGCCGATCAACCAAGAGTGAAAAGTTGAGATCAGTAAACTGTCAGTTGCGTCAAAGATCAGCCACTATCGTGAATGTGATCAAATACACGCTGTAAGTAAAACTTGATGAAGCGATACAACGTTTGCCCCAGACGGGATCACACCGAGGTGTGAACTGACCGACACGTTTGTTTCCCCCGAACATCGCACTCACACCTGAGCTCTCCCCCTAAACTTACATCACTCGCTGGATGGGTAGGGCCTACATGTTCGCTCCAGGCGGGATCACATTGAACTGTGAACTCTTCCCTGACCATTGCAGAAGTCTCTACTCCCGAATTTGCGAGACAGGCAGAATTTTAATTGGTGTGTTCACAACGTAATGGTGTGTAACGACAAAGGCGGTTGGGGGGGGGGGGGGGCTATAAATTTTCAACAGGTAAAGGGGAGGGGCAACTGGATAAGCATAGATCTTGAGACTCAAGATAGGATAATAAGTGAAAATGGCACTCTTTGCTCGCCATACGTCATCCCGGTTCGCCTAAGGTCCCGCATTTCCTTGCTCCCGAGCACCGGGATCTTAGGCGGAGACTACTGTAATAGATAAGCCCAGATCTAACTTCCGCAATTCAAGCGCCGTTGAATCGTATTTTCTTAACACTTTGCTGTCTCATCTCGCCGTACGGCGAGCCGGAAGTATTTCCGTTCGAGGCGCTTCTCGCCGATCGGCGATTGTGTACCATAACAACGGGATCGCGATGACTAGAACTACAATGTCGTTACTTATAGGCCAAGAAAATGTGGTCTGTAATATTTTTTCTTCCTTTCTTTTCCCCGACCTTTTAGAGCATCATGGTTGACGTCAACGCAGCAAGAAAAGATTAAACCCAAACAATTTTGAGGTTTAAAATTGCTTTGACAGCACAAAGATGTGGGGGGGGGGAAAAAGTTTTCATTTTCATTTTAAGTAAACACTGTAACACAATAAATATCACTCACCAATCCTTCCAATTTTCATTCCAGAACGTGCCAGAGCTCTCAAAGCAGACTGTGCTCCTGGGCCTGGGGTTTTGGTCCTGGAAGTGAAAGGTACAACAATTAGGAGAGCCTAATACAAATATCACTGGGTCATCAAACCCAACTTTGCAATAAAATGTAGCAGCAGCATGACAGACTACTAAAAAAAAAATATGCAGACTCGAACATGTGATTCTGGATAATGTAGAAACAGCTGAGAAATTATGCAATTTGAAAGAAGTGTCAGGCACAGACAATTCAAACACCTTGGGGATTGACAATTGGGTTCAAAACATCCATAATTCAGGGAAACCAATATATACCAAAATTTAAAGAGATATCAATCTTGGAATGGCACATGGTATGAGCCACTAATGACTTCCAGTATTCCGTGTATGCCTTAACTTTTCCTGACAGTGTATGCCTACCACACCACCAAATTCATGGTCATTTTAGACAGAAGATTTGAACGCCAAATCAGTTAAAAAGAAAAACAATTTTATACTCTATTCAGTGCTTCCACCAGGTGAAACTGGAAAATAAGGAATATTCTGCAGGGTGTCTGGGGGCCGGGCCGCAGAGGCCCCAACAGGCTGTTGGGGTTCAGGGGGCGAAGTCCCGAAGAAATTGAAACTTACAGCTTTTAGAGGGTTGAAAATGGCATTTGGGAGCCTGTTTGAAGAGACTGCCTATATGACAACCTCTCTCTCTCTTGCCCTTTTTTAACTCCCAGTGGAGCACAGGCCATCAACAACATTACTCCAGCGAAACCTGTCCTGAGCATCCTTTTCTATCTGTTTCCATGAGGTCCCCACTTTTTCAATTTCCGCTTGTACCGCTCGCCTCCATGACATGACAACCTATTACATTTATTTTTTCACAAACATTTTGTCTCGTTTGATTTCTTCACCTAGATCTATGTATCTTTCAATTACTGGCAATATTTAAAAGCAGGTTCCCCTTCCAAATTAATTGAACTTCCAGTGCTACCATAATTCAATTAATTTGTCATCGCACCATTGATAGAAGGCATACCAGGGAATAATGAATAGATCAGGGTGTCCAGCAATATTTCCTGAAAAAATGTACAACCTGGAAAAAAAATTTACTACCCAGCAAATCAAGTCCAACATCAGCTAAAAAAAGGGAGTTCATTTGCGCCACCAATAAGATTATATTATTATTACATAATATATATGGAACAAAAAGAACACACAACAAAGTCCAGTCGACAAAATGGAGGATAGACAAGACAATCGCAAGCTTGCTCACCGCTAGATTTAGTTTTCGCAAGGTTTTTGCGGCGCTCGCAACGGCATAGGTCATAATATGAGCGGCAAGGGATGGATGTCAACAGAGAAGTCCAAACGGGAGATCAAGCTTCAACTATCAATTAAGGTACCCCGTAAATAGTAGTTCACAAGAGTGACAAACATACAAAAGAAGTAGAGGAAATGAAGATAGTAAAGAAGAGGACAGAAAAAGCAGCAGTTCCCCCTATGTTGGTCCAGCACAGTATAAGCATGACATTGATAAATCAGCTCGTTAATTCTACTGTGCACAAGAACATGTTCTTCTGCCCTGGTGGAGATGGGAGGGGAGGGGGTAGATTTAGACCTAATGTGTACACTACAGGGTGACTGCCAAACCGGCTTCTCAATTTTCCAGGGCTATGTAATATAACAACACACACGCGTAAAATATATCCAGTCAACAACATCTCAGTGTCGCACAGGGGTCTTCTTTGACTTAAGTATTTCAGTCTGTTACTAGCGTTATAATATTTTCCTCTCATTATTATATATTTTAAAAAAGATTCCTGCTTTGAGCGTTCGCAGTGGCCTTGAGAAAGAATTTCTACTGTCAAGAACCAGTCTGGGTGTCATGACTCATATTATAAATGAGAAAGACAAAAATTATTGCTCAAACTAAAAGTAGAGCAATAATTTGAAGGGCTCAAGTAGACCTATTCAGTGTGAGAGGGGTAAGAATTGTGGGAGGGCATGAGGCAATGACACTGAAACTTTTTTTTTTAAACGAATTTACGACCTGGCTGGTCACCCTACCCTGTAGGCAATATCAGCAAAGAAAGTGAAAGGTACACAAGACAAAATAAGGTCACGCAACATTTTTGGGAGGGAATAAAGAAGCTTTAGCGAACGTGCCCTTACAGTCGAAAATAAGAGCTTGAGTCTACAAAAAAAAAAAAAACAAACAGCAGGTGCTAATTTTGGTAACAGTTAAATGGCACTTGCAAACACAAATAGGCCAAATAAGTGCTGGAGACTGGAGGTATCAGTTATCAGTATCACTAGAGAGTAGCATAAACGGACGACAAGAACAGAATTAATTTTCTATAGTAA